ACAAGATTTTTAGACAATTCATGCATCAGTTCATCATTGTTTTCATCGATGATATCTTAATTTATTCAAAAAACAGAGAAGAACACGCTCACCATCTGACTCAGGTTTCGCGAGTTCGCAAAAAGAAGAAACTGTATGCAAAGTTGAGTAAGTGTAGATTTTGGCTTGAGCAAACTTCCTTCATAGGGCACATCATATCAAAAGATGGAGTGTCGGTGAACTCCGAAAAAGTTGAAGCAGTGCTCGGCTAAAAAAAATTTACCTCGGTTAAGGAGATCCGTAGCTTTCTGGGGATGGCAGGTTATTACCGCAGATTTGTAGAAGGATTTTCTAGCCTACCTGCTCCCTTTATTCGGCTCACAAAGAAGAATGTTAAGTTTGAGTGGAACGAGGACTGTGAAAAAAGTTTTTTAAAACTAAAGAGACAGTTGACAACTACACCTATGTTAGCCTTGCCGAGTAGATTGGGTGAATATACAGTCTACAGTTATGCCTCTTACCTAGGGTTGAGTTATGTTCTGATGTAAGATGAAAATGTCATAGCCTATGGGTTCAGACAGTTGAAGAGTTATGAAAAAAACTACTCCACCCATGACTTAGAACTGGCCGCAATTATCTACGCTTTGAAGACTTGACGCAATTATTTGTATGGGGAGACCTTTAAGATCTATACCGATCATAAGAGTTTGAAATATATATTCACTCAAAAAAATCTCAACATGCGTAAGAGAATGTGGATAGAATTCCTCAAGGACTATGATTGCGACCACTCAGGTAAGGATAATGTTATAGTTGATGCACTCAGTAGGAAAAGTGTAGGTACATTAGCTTATTTGATAGTTTCCGAATGCAGGCATATAGGAACCGCACAATAGGTACAGCTTCAGGACATAAAGAAAGTCATATGTTTAGGGCACCTGACTGTTCAACCTGAGTTAATCTAGAGAATAAAAGAAACTTAATCTGCGGATTCTACCCTAGCAGCCCTCAAGAAAGATGCAAAACAGGGAGTTAATTCAGAATTTCGAGTCTCTACCGATGGGATGCTCAGATTCTAGGACATGGTGTGTATTCCAAGTGACAGTGAGTTGAAAAGGAACATCATGATAAAGGCTCATACCTCAAAGTTTGTCATACATTCTGAAAGCACTAAAATGTATCAAAGTATGTGATCCCGATTTTGATGGAATTGGATAAAAAGAGATGTAGCTGACTTCGTTTTTAAGTGTTTGGTATGTCAGCAAGTCAAGACAGAGTATCAACGCCCAGGTGGACTACTTCAGCCATTACCAATTCCAGAGTGGAAGTGGGAATATATCACTATAGATTTCGTGACAGGATTACCTAAGACACACTCATGACATGATGTCATCTGGGTAATTATTGACCGGCTTACTAAGTCTTCCCACTTATTGGCCATCAGAATGACTAATCCTTTGGACAAGTTGGCAATAATGTATATCCAAGAGATAGTAAAATTACATGGAGTGCTAGTGACAGTAATGTCCACCCCATGTTTACTTTTCGGTTTAGGTCTAGCTTTCAGTAAGGCATGAGAACGAAACTATCCTTTAATGCTGCATTCCACCCTCAGATTGATGGACAGTCAGAAATGACAATCCACACACTTGAGGATATGCTTCGAGCTTGTGTTCTTGACTTTAGAGGCCATTGGGATAACCATCTATCCCTGATAGAGTTCGCCTATAATAACAGCTACCAAAGAAGCATTGACATGACTCCGTATGAGGTATTGTATGGCCGCCCATGCAGATCATCGATATGTTGGGAAGAGATGGTGATAGGAAAGTGTTCGGCCCAGATCTTGTAGATGAGACTATAGACAAAATATTTAAGATTAGAAAGAATATTCAGACGGCTCAGAGCAAATAGAAGAGTTATGCAGACACTTGGAGGAGGGATTTAGAGTTTGAGAAAAGCAATCAGGTGTTCCTTAAGATCACCATTTCAAGGAAATAAGTAGGTTTGGCAAGAGGAGGAAACTAAATTCTCGGTTTATTTGATTATTTAAAATCTTAGATAGAATTGATACCGCCACCTACAGACTGGCACTGCCTCCAGAACTTTTCAGGGTCCACAATATATTTCATGTGTCCATGCTACGCAAGTACAACCTGAATCCCTATCACGTCTTAGCCCACGAGCCTCTTTCACTTTAGGAGGACCTGTCCTGCGAGGAAGTACCGGTCGGTATTGTGGACTGAAAGAGCAAATTACTCCGCAACCAGGAAATTTCCTTTGTTGAGATCCTATGGCAGAATCACACACCGAGAGAGGTCACATAAGAGCTAGAATCAGACTTCAAAACCTAATATTTTCAACTATTTGATCGAGAGTGAGGGAGACAAATTTGAGAAACCAAATTTCTTTTAGGGGGGGGGGGGGGGGGAGTTGTAATACCTAAATTAATTTTTTATGTGATTCAAATTAATTTGTAAAAGTAATTTTTAAAATTTTTAAATTTTAATTTAGTGTAATAATGAAAGAAATTTGAAGGAGGATGAAGTTGAAAATAATTTTGGAAAAAAGAAGTAAAAATTTGGGTTATAAGTGTATTTTTGAAAGAAAAATCGGAAAGTGGGGGTTAAAATACAATATAAAAAAATTGTGCCACGTAGGATTTTCGGTCAGCAACTCAGATAAACCAGAACGCGTCGCGTGGTAGCGGACACTAACACGGTACCACATGGGAGGCCATGTGAGCGATCCACGTGCCCGCGATCAGACAGCCCAGATCTGCTCGCGCGCGTACGCACGGCCCAGATGCATGCACTCCTCAGACATGATCGGACGGTCAGATTTAAATGTGATTAACAGTTCAGATCTACTTCTTATTTAATCGCGATCGGACAGTCTAGATCAAATGCGATGGATAGCCCAGATTAAAAGGGGACGTGTATAAACAACCTTCTTCACACCAAACCCTAACCCTAGCCACCAGACACCTTCGCTGGAGAAGAAGACCCAGCTGCCGAGAAGGAGAGCTGCCGCCACCCACCCCTGTGTTAGAGCCACTTCCGACCGCGAAAGAGGTAAAAAAATTTTTATTTGCTCAGAATTCAATTTTAAACACCCATATGGCCAAATCAGAGCTAAAAGACCAGCAGATTGGTCGAAAATTGGGAGCAAAGTCCGGCGGCACCGTAGTGGATAATTTTAAAAACTGCATTTGATGAAGCCCTTCTCGATTTTCTTTCTCTATAGATTGATCGAAGCAAGACACCCAACCGCAAAAGTGAGCGGGCGGAGCCGCCGCACTGGAGAACCCCCCCGCTTGTGAGTTTTAGTTTTTTTTTTATGTTTTTGGGCCAACCGAGGTCCCTTAACATATTTTCTCACAGGGATTAATACAAAATCGGTCGAAACCAACCCGAGGCGAACTGCCATAGGAGCTCGGCAGAGCCGTCGTGCCAG